TTCCCTTTTAATAAAATTTGCGGATGATTCCTCTCTACAAGGCCTTATATCAACAAATGAGAATGAATACAAGGACGCTGTAAATGTATTTACAAATTGGTGTGATAACCACTTCCTTTTACTAAATGTAAAAAAGACAAAGGAATTAATAATAGACTTTTAGAGTAAAAAAAGACCAATTGCAACCACTACTTATCAAAGATGAGGAAGTGGAGGTGCTAAGCTCTTGGTGTAACAATTGATAACAAACTTGACTGGCGTCCCCACGCTGCTCTTGTGCATAAAAAAGTAAATCAAAGAATGTTTCTTTTAAGGAAATTAAAAAGTTTCCGAGTTGATAATAAGTTTATGTCCCTTATATACCATTCTATGATTGAAAACGTGCTATTATTTTGTATTTGCTGCAGGGCTGGGAATTGTTGGGTAAAAGATAAAGAAAAATTTGACAGAACCATTAAGAAAGCCAGCAAGATTTCTGGATATGATTTTTCTAGAATTGATGAAATGTATAACACCACAAGTTTAAAAAAGATAAAAAGCATAATAAACGACCCACCACACCCCCTTTACATGCACATTGTCAGATTACGCAGCATCAGATACGCACCTCTAAAAACAAAGAAAAAAAATATATAAGGAGTTTTTTTTTTACCATCAAGCATAAGGCTATTATCAGAATAAGAGTAGATGTGTATTGCTCTTTAGGTCTTGTAATTAAATTCCCGCATGTGGTTGAATGATGCATCTGATGTGATATGTACATTTTGTCAGCTTCACTTCTCTTTTCTTTCATGTTGAATTTTAAAGAGAGTAATATATAATTTAAATTTGTTACGCACTGCATCTGTTTTTACGGTCCTGTACAGCCAATAAAAAAATCCCTCTGGGATAATAAAGTACTATCTTATCTTTTCTCTTATCTTATCTTTAGGTTAATGTTATATTTCTGGGACGATAAATGTTGAAACTATTCAATATATTCGTCTCTTTTACTCTCTCTTTGTCTCCCTTGCCCATATGGTTTGAAAAAATGTTTAGAAGTGTTAAGACGCCAGATTGACAAAGCTAGATGGTGAAGAGGAGGGTTGCTAAAGGGGTGCTCATATGACAAACAAAAAAACAAAAACAAAACAACAACAAACAAACCAAAAGAAAGACAAAGTTACTGAATAAGATATACTGTTTTCTCCAGTTCGGAATCCACATGACATCTTTTGGGAGAATCAAAGAGCATATAAAACCGTTACACTACAGGCGCCGGTTCTTCACCAGTCTTGTTTTCAGTTTTGTGAGAGTTTTAACGCACTTGCAACACAATTAGGTCACATACGTGCCGAGGAATAAAGGTTTTATCAGAGAGTAACAAACATAAAAAAGAAGGAGGAGAGATTTAAAGGATGATAGAGGTTTGATAGAAAAGAAGGAGCAAACCATATCAGAACACCCGCCAACCACCCACGTTCTCCATATTAAACAAAGAGCTAGTTCGTCGTCCTACAGTATAAATGTAAATAGAATATTCCACTATAATAAGCCTGGTAAGGACCCTTTTTGTCCTACACGAGTTCGATTCCCATGTGAGGAAATTAAAAATTTGTAAAAAGAAGGCAAAACTGGATGTGTAAAACAAACCCAATTCGCGTTCATGTTTTTGATGAGAAAAAAAGGGGGTGACCAACTGTACAAAGGAATACACTAGTTTGTCATAGATTCCATTTTAAATCTTCTTCTTTATCATTACCAGAGGCATGCTGTCAATGAACGCAGTGACGTTTCCGGTGTGGTCTGGGATCGAGGCTATGGATCTTCAGCTCTACTTTAGTGACGTCAACGTGTCACGCGACGGAATCCTACAGGCTGCTGGTTCCTACAAGATGGCCTTCCCCCTGCGCACCGACACCGAGAAGTTGGAGAGACTGTCGCTGGCCTGGGAACTGGCGTACATCGACTTTATGTCCACGGTCAATCTGACCACTGTCGACGTACGTGTCATGGTGGTGTCGTCGTTGCTGCTGTTGTTGTCGTCGTCGTTTTTGCCGTTGTCGTCCTTGTTGTGTATGCCATCATCATCATCATCATGACTAATTTCAAATCATCATCATCATCATCATCATCATCATCATCATCATCATCATCATCATCAT